CTCCTGGCTTCCTTGATCACATGGTGCTGAATGGGCTCAGGATGGGCTCTGGGTACACATCAGGAAAGATGAAGGTAGTGCCTGTCTTTCCATGTGTCCCATCTAGTGGAGATGCAGGTCTGTCAGCATACTAGAAGGCTAGAATACCTTCCGATTACATGGGAAATGCTGTGAGCAGTGAAGAGGAAGAGCTAGTCAGGTGGACCAGGTGTGGCTAGGGTGGGGTAGAGGCTTGGGTAGTGATGGATCAGGAGGCAGCTCTGGAAGAGGAGGAAGTGCAGAGAAGGAACCCTTTCCATACACCCTGGTGTGGGAGCCTGGGAAACTTACTCCCAGACCTGTGACTCTCAAGGCCTCATTTGGAGAAAGCCATTTGTCACTATGACGCAAGAGATCCTGTTTGGGATTCTCACTGGGGCTCAGGTTTTCCCTGGAGGCTGCATTTTTCCCTGGGTCTCTAGTTCTGAGTCTGTAATGAGAAACACAGCTCTCTGACAGATATGTTTTAGAGCAGTGACAGGACCTGCATCATCAGGAGGCCACACCTCCATGGCCTTGAGCCTTCTCTTGCTTGACAATGGCCCCTGGGGGGCAGGGACACAATAGTCACCTGTCCCCCATGTCAGCACCAATCTGGCTCACTGTCTGAGAGTGAAATTCACTTTTTTTCCAAGCATGTTTTGAAGGAGACATTCATTTTCTTTAAGTAAGACACACCCTTATAAATACCAAAGAGGAAGCTTCCATGCTTAATATCTTAGAGATGATAACTCCTGCTGTGTTTGGAAGGTTCAGAAAATCTGCAGATATACATCTTTGTTTTTGGTTAAAGTGTGTGCAACCCATGCCCAGTGCTTTAGGGCTGATAATCATTATGATAGTTTTAGTTTAAAACATGTCTGTAGTCCTTTCTAGGAAAAGTTGGGTTTGCCTATGTAAGAGAGCTGAGTGCTTTATGGTGGACTTTTTTTTTTTTTTTTTTTTTTTTTTTGTCTTTTTGAGACAGGGTCTCCTTGTAGCTCCAGCTGTCCTGGAACAAACTATGTAGACCACACTGGCCTCAAACTCACAAAGTTCCGCCTGCCTCTGCCTCCCAAGTGCTAGGATTAAAGGCATATGCCACCACGCCTGGCTATGGTGGACTTTTGAACCATAGAATAAACCTGGAGTGTAGGAACAGATGGTGTTTTTTGGTTTTGAGTCCTTGCTTCATTGCACTTCCTTCTATAAAATCAGAATAATGGCACCTACTCTAGTGGTGACTGAGAGGAAGCTGAGAAAGTGTGCACCTGTGTCTAGGACTCAGTATTGTGCTGTTGACATGATTCTGCAGGCGAGGAAACTGGTACCCTCGCTGCACATCATGTTAGCACAGCCCTGCTGCCCTGGCCTGAATGGGTAATTCAGTGTACCCCTGGAGTGACCATCCTCTGAGGGGACCATGTTGGGGACCTCTCTTCTATCACCCTCAGGGCTCTACCTGTGTGTGCTTGAACCTTCCTCCCCCAAGGCAAGCTCCTGTTCCCTGGAGTGTGTAAGGTTTCCTTGGCTTGGACTATATCAGCCTGCTGAATTCAGGCCCTGGACATGGTAGCAGAACTGGCCTGGGAGGCTTTGGCTGAGCCTTCCACCACCTGGACTAGAGGTTGCCAAGATCCTTTCAGGCCCTGAAGCCATGGTGCAAGCATGGAGGGCATAGGGATGGACTAGAACAGCTCAATTCAGGCAACTTAAGAGGACTGGGAGCTTTCTAAGAAACAAACCCAATGCCTGGACTCCTGGTAGAATTGTTTGAGTTAGGTGAGCTTACTTCAAGGAGAGGAGGGCATGTTCCTGGCATGCATGGGGCCTACAAACCCACATCCCTGCAACCATTCTTTTTTGGAGCCAGTGAACTTCAAATACTGGTTGAGGAAAGATGAGGCTGCTGTGACTGAATGTTCAAGGTCTGGAGACTGTGTGACAGCCTGAGAACTGTCCCACCTTTCCTGCCTTCTACTCCTTCCTAGCATCTACGGACCAGATCTTCCCAACTTCTGCCTTCAGAAGTGAGGTGAAGACTAGGCAGTCAGGGCTGGAGCTCAGTGACAGGTCAGGGCATCCTTAGCTCAGAGGCTATTTGACCCTGAAGGCCACCTGGCTAGTGAGACTGGGGTCCTCCTGAGTTCATGTCCCTACTATGTGTTTCTTTATTTTAGAATATGTAGAGATCAATGAAAGACATACTGTCTGTCAAAGAAGATCATCAGGCCTGAGCCTGCGTTTTAGTTTCATTCCTTGGGTTAGATCTTTGATGGAAATAGTTGTTCTTTGATGCTCAGCACAGCAGGCCTGGTTTTCTTAGGCAGACACCCCAAGGAGAAACAACTGTAAGCACTATGTATGTTAGCAGTGCCTATCCCATCCATCCCCATGAGATGACCTGGGCAGGGTCTGTCACCGGGGGATTAGGATGATGTCAGAGCTCTATCCCCAGCCCAGGCTGGTTGTGGCCAGGGCTAGATGTAGAAAACCTTCTCTAGAGTCAGGCCTATGGCTGAAGGGCAGTCTGACCTGGCTGGAGCTCTCGGTTCAGGAGCACCAGTGCTCACAGTGGGGACTGAGCTGTATGGGTTCCAGTTGGGCTCTGTTTCCACATGCAGCTTCTCCCTTGGCTTCCTTGAAAACCTGACAGAGCCTCAGCCCTGGTGGCTACTGTATGGCACATGAAGGAAGCATGGGATGCCAGCCGAACCTTGTCATCTAGCGTTACCAGTTTGTGATGCTATGAGCTTGGTGTGGGCAGATTCCCAGGCCACATGGTTCTGCAGGAGGGTTGCCTTTGGGCTGGTGGAGGTACTTGGGCATCAGACCAGACAGGTTCTAAGACCCAATGGATCTAATATGATTGACTTCAGTTCACTGAACATAACTCCAGAGCTTTCAGATAATCAGGCGTTTATAGTGGACCTATGTCCCACTGATTTTGGCCACTCAGATGGTGGGGGCTGTCATGAAAGCAGAAGGTATAGGAATGTTGTGGAGGACATTGACCCTCCAGATGGTGGCAAGTGATTGAGGCTGCCTAGGCCCAAGACCAATGCAGATCTTAGATGGTAGATCTTGGGACTCTACCTATGGTAATTCTGATCAGCCCAGATGTACACTGCACCTCCTAATAAATCATTATTCAGCAGGTCTATGGTGAGCATCCCTTGGGCTCAACACTGGCAACTTTCTATGCCTACCCTCCCCCTCCTAACATTCTATAGGGTGTGGTGGTGGTGAGTCCTTGAGGTGCTGTTGATCAGCCCTGATGAAACAAAAAATAGCTCAGAGGAGGCATGGGTAACCAGGAGAACCCAGAAACTTAATGTTAGGACTTATCTCTCTTATATATTAAACTGTCTTGTTTAAAACCTTAATGCTGGAGGGCTGGAGAGATGGCTCAGTGGTTAAGAGCACTGACTGCTCTTGCAGAGGACCTGGGTTTGATTCCCAGCACCCACATGGCAGCTACAAACCGTCCTTAACTCCAGTTCCAGGGGAATCCAAAACCCTCTTCTGACCTCTGTGGCATTGCAT